AGTGCTTTACGCTTTACTTTCTGCATTACCCGTTCTAACCTGCAGATGTCCTCCGTTTTTAGCTCATCTGACCACTGAATCCAGCTCGTCTAATCTAATCAGTGAATATAGTTGTAACCAGAAAATATCCTCAGTGTTCTGTTTATATAAATATACTAATAACCATAATTATGTCCACACGGCTTAATGATATATTTTTTCGTTTCTTTCTGCATTGCTCCTCTTAACCAGCAGATGTCCTCAGTGTGTGCCGTTTTTAGCTCATCTGACCAGTGAATCCAGCTCAAGTAATCTATGTAATCAAACAGTCAATATAGCAATCACAGTCATTGTAGTGGAATTAAAACAACACAATGACACAAAACTAGCAATTGATACCTCTTTTGAATTTCCCCATTGTAACCAGCAAATATCCTACATACTCCATTGTTTATATAAATATACTAATAACTATATTTGTGTCCACGCTGATTAATAATAATTTTTAAAATTGTTTTATGCTTTTCTTTCTGCATTACCCGTTCTAACCAGCAGATGTCCTCTGTTTTTAGCTCATCTGACCAGTGAGTCCAGCTCGTGTAATCTAATCAAACGGTGAATATAGCGATCGCAGTCATTATAGTGAAATTAAAAACAACACAATGACGCAAAACTAGCATTTTGTACCCGAGAAACTTTTCTTTTTATACTTCACATAACAAATAATTTCCAAAATAGTTCATTTTAAATCACACAAGGCTTTTATATTTCAATGGATTCTGATTAACTGTTTAATCGTTTATTATGTGAAACATTCGTTTGTTGTGAAACATTCAATCTGAAAGTGATTCCAACGATATAATTTCTCTGCATCTTTATCGTTATAGTTGTAGCCTCAACTTTTGTTACAATATTGTCTTTATAGTTCTCGTGCTTGGTGTGAACGGACTTTAATGCTGAGAAACGGACAATTTTTGTGTGAACTATCCCTTTAAGAAAGGCAATGTTTGCTGGCGTGACTTTCATTACACTGGCAGTAACTTCATAACATCGTCACATAGTAAAATAGTCTTAAATTTAACCTATATGCACAGTTATAAACATTTAACAAACAGTCAAACAAAAGAATATAATATTACCCCACAGCTAAACAAGAAAGAAGCCAACAAACAGAAATCACAAGGTTGTGTCTCTTAAGGCCTCCGCGGACGCCTCGTTATTTCCAAAACGTCTGCCTGATAGTTCGATCCGGGACAAGAAAAGGCACTTTGCTAACATTTGGCAGAGACAGTTTAAACATGTCAATACAGATCAGGAAACGCTATCTTGACCCTTATACTGAACACCACACCCTGAAGTACTTTAAAAAAATCCCAGATTCCCAACCCTTGCGGCCATGTGAACGCTCCGAAAGTTCAATCCTGACGTCCAGAAGCAATCTTTCACATCTCGTTCGACCTGTCACTTCAAGTCCCCTGATGAGGGAAGGGAAGTTTCAGCCCAGGCGCTGTCCCTGTGTTCAAATCATATGTCCAAACATAAAGGTGTTGAATGGTAAATGTTGAGTCGCTGACCCCTGGAAGGGAATATATGGAAAAAACAGCTCGGCTACACCACTGTTGGCCTTGCAGATGTCCAGCTGTCAATAGAAGAGTTGACCTACATACTGCAAACTGCTGTCGTTTGGCATTTACACACGTTTTGCAGACATCGCGCTCTCCCTGTCTGTTATTTAGTATCACTTGAATAGATTTTGGTCACAGTTTCAATTCTTGCTATGACTTTTCGCTTAATAAACTGCTTATTTGCTGCTTGTTAATAGTTAGTAAAGTCGTAGTTGGGTTTAGGTATTGGGTGGGGTTTATAACTTTGAGTATAAATATTTTATAGGAACTAATAAACATAATAATAGGAAGGTAATAAGAGTAGTTAATAATGAGAATTGGCACTAAATAATTAGTAAACTAAATAATAAAAGTAAAAGATAATTAGTTAATTTGTTGAATTAGATTAAATTTGAATGTTTTAACTAAAATAATTTCAATGAGTTTGTTTACGTTTTTTGCAATTTTAGTACTTCAACTGAAACTAAATGCAAATGAAAAAAAAATTGGCAGCTGACTGGAATAAAATAATTGTTTTAAATATTGTAATACAATTTGAATTAATTTGTGTTTTATTTCAATGGTTGATTTTTTAAGTTAAATGGTTTGTTTATACCAAAATAAAACTTTGTCATTTACTGGCCTTCGTGTTCTTTCAAATTCATTGGAAATTAATCGATTTTCAGAACACAAATGAAGATGTTTTTAATTAAAAATATCAGATATCAAAGTCTGTTCACCTAAAACACGTCTGAACTTCATGACCCAATGAGGTTTGAGGTTTCACATGAACCAATGATGTTTGAGCTTCATCAAGAACCAATAAGGTTTGAGTTTTCTGAGGTTTGGGATTTTGTATGAACCAATCAGATTTGTGCTTAATCAAGAACCAATGAGGTTTGAGCTTATCAAGCAGTCAGGTTTGAGCTTTTGCATGGACCAATCAGCTTTGAGTTTCATCAAGAACAAAATGAGGTTTGAGTTTTCGCACGAACCAGTGATGTTTCAGCTTCACCAAGAACCAATAAGGTTTGAGCTTTTGCATGAACCAATGAGGTTTGGGTTTTCACATGAACCAAGTCAAATTTGAACTTTTGCATGGCCCAATCAGATTTGATCAAGAACCAATCAGGTTTAAGCTTATCAACCAGTCAAGGTTGAGCTTTCACATGAACCAATAAGATTTGAGATTTATCAACCTGTCAGATGTTAGATTTTGCATGGACCAATCAAGTTTGAGCTTCATCAAGAACCAATAAGATTTGAGCTTTTGCATGAACCAATGAGGTTGCATTTTCGCATGAACCAATCAGGGTTGAGCTTTCACATGGACAAGTGAGGTATGAGCTATTTTATCAACCCGTCAGCTTCGAGCTTTTGCATGAACCACTGAAATTTGGTTTTCACAGACAAGGTTAAGCTTCTGTCTGTGTTCAGTGATTCATTTTTTTACGTGAATAAACACCAAAGGTAATCTGTTAATGATTTAATGTGATTGTGTTTCTTTAGGAGATTAACCCAATCAAATGTTGAGTTTTGGGTGAACAGACTTTTCAGATTTTGAATATACAAATACTTAAACTGGGTGCTGAGATGTTTGTGTGACTTGCATTTTGTCAAATCGTAAAGTACATTCAAATAAGAGACCAAGTTTAAGTCAAATATCTTGCCTTTCTGTTGTACTTTTCCTAATTTAGGAATGTCCGGCCAGAATAAAACACTGAGTATCAGTCATGAAGGACAGTGAGACACAGGTTTTGGCATTCAGCTTTGACCGGTTTATATTTATGCATCAATAGATGTGTTCTCAGTGTCTGCATATACATTTCTGTTTTCTTCACATCAATCAGAAACTCGATGGCAGAGGAGAGAGGAAAAGTTGATTGTGTGTTGCAGGAAAATCGATTGAATGTTTCTCTTTTAGAGAGAAACATTTTTAAAAGCAATATACCAACATTCATCATTCCTAAATCCCCCTCACTCAGGCCTTAAGTCTTTTCTGTCTTCTAAATCCCTCTTCTGTCTTCACGTGATTTTTTTAAAAGTGAGGCCCAAAAGTCTGAGACCACGTCGAAAATCTGGGATTCAAAATGTAATTTAAGCCTGAAAATAAACAGCAGTTGTTTAGGCTTTGAGAAACGTTTAAACAAAGTGACAGTGTTGTAAAATAAAGAGGCATTTTATACTCTGCAAATGTTTATTTTTTTAGGTTGCTGATAAAATAAGCCAATTTTAGGCGGGAAAAATGTCTTGATTAAGATTGTGGGGGGTTGTATCAACAGTCATTAATTCAATCAAAATGAACAATTCTCTTGTTTGTGGTGTTTATTTTAGATTATTTATTTTGGTGTTCGTATTTTTTACATCATGTGTCCTCATAATGAATGAAAGAACTTCCCCGCCCTCTTCAAATACATCTCTTCTCTGATTGGTGTTTACTGGTGCGAGGGCGGGATCACCCTGTCACTCAGATGAAATCCACCAATAGCAAACCACTACCATCAAATCAATGCCCAGTGGACGAAATCCATAGATATTTACATTAGATGTCGTCTACGCTATTGTTGTCTATTGGAAGGATTGCATTAATAAAGCTGCCATTTTGGTACAGTGTAGCACTCCTTTGAAATTAATGTGGGACCAAGGTGCAGTGGAGGACTGGCTATCCGGAGCTATAGATATATATATATATTATTATTTACTTATACTTATTTATTTATAGATTATTATTTACATCACTTTTTTACATTGATGGAACAGTGCACAGGCACTGTTATGTTATTAGGCACCCTTATAAATTAATGCCTAGTTCAGACTGCTTGATTTTAGCCCCGATTTTGGCTCGCCGACAGGTTTTGAGAAATCGCCGACAAATGCCTGAAATCACAGGCAAATCGGTGCTCGTGCACGTGAGTGACAATCACACAGTATGAACTATCAAAGACGCGATCTGAGAGAATCGCCGATGAGTCGCCGATGCCTGCGAGATATTTGGCATGCTAAATATCTGGAGCTGTCGGCGATTTAAATCACGCCGTGTGAATTGAGTTTTGACTGAAAATAACATCAGCGATCGCCTACAGCCAATAAGAGAGCGGCATTCACTTGTGTGTGCGTGTGTAAACCTGCTGCAGGTCAGTGGGAGGCTGGGGGAGAAGTTAAAAGCGCTCTTTTTCGGATTATTTGGACTCACGAAATGGAGAAAAAACTAGTGGAGGTTTGACAGGACTCAGGAGCAACCGTGTCTGTTTGACGTTTCATACAGAAAGAAATTAGTTTATTATCAACGTTGAGGAGAAATGGCTAATTCCTTTTAAACCCAGGAGAGCAAATATGTAAATTTTCTACCCCATTAAAGGCTTCTTTCTCATTATGTAGTTAATAACAAAAGATATAGTATGTGTTTTTGGCTGTGAGACGTAGTTTGGACGAAGTTGTCGGCGATTCTTCCTATAGTAAAGTCATGCAATGTGAAAGTCCCTGTCGCTGATCCATCTTGCAGTGTAAACAAAGCAGCAAGGAAATGCTAGCCCAGATAGACATGCAGTGAAAACAACTGTGACACCACTACTTTGAAAATCATGCAGTCTGAACTCGACATAAGTTACTTCAAAAACTAGCCGTTACTTCACTTAGCAGACAATAATTCACGTTTCTGGCACCGCAGAGTCGTGTTGTCATATATTTTGTTCACATTGTTTGCTGATTTTATTCAACAAAACTAGCATAAGCCTAGAATTTGGTGCAAGTATGCGCTACTTCGCCTTATAGTCAGTGCAGTAAGAGACTGTATTATCATCAAAATCACAAAAGTTCGTAAAAAGCGAAATCTTACCTATAAAATGTTCTGCTTTTATACTTTGTTTGCTCGTTACTACACCCGAAAAGTCCAGCATCTTCAGATTGGCTTTAGTCTTAACTAGTGCGGTTGAATGACTTTTGTCCTGGGAGCACTGTACCAATATGGCGGCTGTATTGACGCATGCTCAGAGCCTGTATGTGATATCTAGTGTATGCATCTTGGACAAAAATGTTTGTAGTTGTTTTTGTACATAATATATTTTGTACATATATTGTACGTAACATCATTAAATTTGTTATATAAAAATAAAACCGTGAAAAAAAAAATGTCATATTAAATTCTAAAAAATAAACAGATTTTCAATAGTGATCTCAGACTAGATTTTGGTTTTAATTACAGCTAATATTTCGTAAATTATAAAATAAAATAAATCACTTTAGAGCTATTAAATTCAAAATAGAAGTTTCCATGATTTTTGCAGGCCTGTTCAAATTTCCTGGATCTTCCATGCTTTGCGTGACCGAGCAGACCCTGGTGCTTCCTGGCATTGTTGGGATGTGGTCAAAGGTCACGGCTGGAGCTGGGCGTGGCCACGGCGGGCACCGGGTGAAGACTGAGCTCTGCTGCACGGGTGGGCGGAGTCACTGGCACATTCAGGGGCGTGGCTTGAGGCTCAGGCCACACCTTCCATAAGCAGTCGGAGGTAGAGAGACAGGCAGACAGACATATTGAAGGGATGAACAGACAGACGGTAAGAGCACAGAGAAAGAGACGGAATAAAGATGACAGACAGAGAGAGAAACAGCGTTTAGAGTGTGGACTGGCCAATGATCAGGGGTCTTGCAGGAGGAGGCTTCTCAGATGCGCTCATGCAAGACTGTAACTGCAGATCCTGCAGAAACACAGAACAGGACAGACAGTGGCAGCTCTGCACTGCTGTGTGTAGTGCTCATGATGACTTCTGTCACCACATTCACTTTACCACTGATTTAACACTCATCAAATATCACAATACTAACACTTATCGATGCTATGGTGAAAATATAAACAGGAAAAGTCACTGAATAATACAGTTTATTTTCATTTATTAATAAACACCCAGTGTTTGATGTCAGAGTAGAACCGTTTGAACTTAAAATGAAGTCAAATAAATGAAGGCTATCAATAAAGAATATGAGCGAGGAATCTACTGATTTAATTGCTGGGATGACTTTGAAGTACTGTGGAGAAATGCTGAAACTGATTTCTGCTTTTATTATCAAGGAGTGTTATAAATGAAGGTATTGCTACAGATTGTTTATATTTGCTCTGAGGTATCATTTCTGAATGTGAGTTAATGGCGGAAAAAAAATAGAGAAATAGATTCTGCATCAATTACTGTTCAAAACTAGCCTAGAGCGCCGTCTGCTATTCAAAACTAGCCTAGAGTATCATCTGCTGTTCAAAACTAGCTTAGAGATGTTCAAAACTAGCCTAAAGCGCCGTCTGCTGTTCAAAACTAGCCTAGAGCACCGACTGCTGTTCAAAACTAGCCTAGAGATGTTAAAAACTAGCCTAGAATGCAGTTAGCTGTTCAAAACTAGCTTAGAGCACCATCAATGGTTAAAAACCAGCCTAGAGTGCATCTGCTGTTCAAAACTAGTGATATCAGCTATTCAAAACTAGCCATTAGCTTTTCTAGCCTAGAGTGCTATTAGCTCTTTAAAACTAGCCATTAGCTGTTCAAAATCAGCCTAGAGCATCATTAGCTGTTCAAAACTAGCCTAGGGCACTATCTACTCTTAGCCTAGAGAGCCATCTGCTATTTAAAACTAGCGACATCAGCTATTCAAAACAAGCCTAGAGTGCCATTAGCTGTTCAAATCTAGCCATTAGCTTTTCAAAACTAGCCAAGAGCACCATCTGCTCTTCAAAACTAGCCTAGAGAGCCATCTGCTATTTAAAACTAGCGACATCAGCTATTTAAAACTAGCCTAGAGTGCCATTAGCTGTTCAGATCTAGCCATTAGCTTTTCAAAACTAGCCTAGAGCACCATTTGCTCTTCAAAACTCGCCTAGAGAGCCGTCTGCTATTTAAAACTAGCAACACTAGTTATTCAAAACTAGCTTAGAGTACCATCAGCTGTTCAAATCTAGCCATTAGCTTTTCAAAACAAGCCTAGAGTTTCATCTGCTGTTTAAAACTAGCCTAGAGCACCGTTAGTTGTTCAAAACTAGCCTAGAGCGCTGTTAGCTGTTCAAAACTAGCCTACAGCACCGTTAGCTGTTCAAAACTAGCCTAGAGCGCCGTTAGCTGTTCAAAACCATCCTAAAAGGCCATCTACTAGCCTTGAGAGCTTTTTGCTGTTCAAAACAAAGCTCAGAATTGATTGAAATCAGAATAGCATTGAATTTAGAAACTTTCCGAAGGGATGCAGAACCATTTTCTGGAACAACTTAGGTCAACACAACTCTACTGTATAACATACATTTTTGGGCTGCATTTGATTGTTGTTGAGTCTGACAACACATGGATCATGTTCATACAGTCTAAAAAAAGCTGCAATCAAAGTCCTTTGAAAATCACAGTGTGAGCTCAGCCTAAGCATACAGTAATGAAAATCCTGCCTTTACTGTAGGTTTACAGACCCTGTATTTCAGACCCCCAGTTTCTTCAGCGTTTGTGTTCCGTCAAGAAAATGACAGCCTACAGGTTTTGTGTCGACATCATGGTGAGTAAATGATCGCAGAATTTTATTTTAGGCAAACTATTACTTTAAATTGCACATGTAAGAATAAAAGAGCCGAAGACTAACATTGTCAGCCGCTTTCCAGCGTCCTGTTTCTCATTCTCTACAATGACATGTTCGTTCTTGTGCACAATGTGCTTGTAATTCGGTTTCAGCTCTGAGATTCCCTGCTGCTGCTCCACATAACTGAGCGAGGGAAACAGATTGGCAAAATTAACCCTTTTCCAGAAGAGCGACACCGGAGATGCTGCACTGATGCAGGATCTGTTAGACCCTGATAAACCTGGCCTACATTTCCACTGACTGTGTTACAGTTCAAAGAAATGAAATACACAGCATTATTTTTACTTTAAGGTGAGATTTATGATTAATATTAATCAATTATATGTGTATATAGCATCATTTGTATTATCATTAAATAATATGGGTTATTTGTGCATTATTTTTAACATTTAAATGTAGATCGGCTTAGTCTCTATTTCAGAGGTCACCACAGCGGAATGAACTGCAATGCATATATTGTCAGTTATTAAAATTATTGAGTTATTGTATATAGTGGAATATTTGCTAATTATATCTCATTTTAATTATATCTCAAGGTAAATTTAAATGATTCATTAATTACAGTATATGTGTGTGTAAATACAGTCACCGGCCACTTTATTAGGTACACCTGACAAATTGCTCGTTAACGCAAACTTCTAACTCAATGGATTTAGGCATGTAGACATGATCAAGACGATGTGCTGCAGTTAAAACCGAGCATCAGAATGGGGAATAAAGGTGATTTAGGGGGCTGATCACATCGAACGCGGTCAATGCTTCTCTTTTGAATGGTTTACTAACCGCCGGAAGTGTTTTGCGGACTGCTTAATCACCCTGCACTAGGGATGGGAAGATTCATCGATATGTATCGATACGCGGTCATGCGCGTGCACGATGCGAGTGCATCGGTTGAGCAGCAGAGGATGAATGAAATTTTGGAAGCAAATCGAGATGCATCGGTTTTTGCGAGATGCATCGATTTTTCCGAGATACAGCTTATATTTTTAATATAGAATGTATTTTTATTTATTAACAAGTGTTGTCAACCTGTTTTTGGCGCATAATTTAATCAACCTACATAAAGTAAGCCTTAGCAACGGATTTGCGGATGTGTACACTTACACTACAACTCAGTGTATCAGGTGTGTGGATGAAGCTAGTGGTGCACCCTCAGAAAGCGCGAGAAGCAAAACAAACATTTTAGTCCCCACTCAGTTTTAAATCTAAAGTATGGCAAGCAACATTATGGATTTAAGGATGGACGACATGACAGGACAGATGCAATTTGCAAAATGTGCCGCGCATCTGTAAAATACGCGGGCAGTATGACTAATCTGATATCTCACTTGAAGCGGCGCCACGGTGTTGTAGTGAAAGCATTTTCCAGTGTTCCTGCATCCCCGGCTTTCGCACTGCTTCAACCAGCTCCAAAAGTGGTGAGAAAAGTATTGCAAGTTTTTTTTTCCGTGCGCAACAGTTCTGCTCGCTCTACACCAATAACGAATGCTATTGCATTGTTCATCTGCAAAGATATTCAGCCTAGTGTCACGGAGAACGAAGGTTTTAAACACCTCCTCCTGTTAATTTTTATTTAATTATAATAATAATATTAATAATAATAATGATAAAAATAATGGGTGTCACGGTGGCACAGTGGGTAGTTTGACCACCTCACAGCAAGAAGATTGCTGGTTTGTTTTATTTTTATTAGCCTGTTGTTTACAGTGGCAGTGATGTTTCAAAGCAGCATAACACTGCTAGTTCACCACCTTAAGTTTTGAATAATCAGTGGCAAAATATATCTTTGTAAAACTTGTTTTCATAGTTGAAAAGTTAAATCACAATTCTTGTTGTGCAATGGTAAACCTTTATGTTGAAAGAGTGCAAATATATATATATTTTTAATATATATTGCACTTATACATTCTGTTTATCTTGAAAATACTTAAATAATATGTGCTATAGGTTCTAAAATGGCCCTCTACTGTAAACTGACACTCTGGCTCTGAGAGAAAAGCCAGTTTGTAAAAAAAGTCTTGGTTTTGCTTGGTTTATAAATAATCAAACTCATTCAATGGCACAGCATCCTTTCTTACATCATCTCATAAACTTGATCTAATTAGTTAGTGCTGAAATATCGCATCGTATCGTGATATGGGTGTAAATCGTATCGTGTTGCATCGCAATATGTCACAAATGTATCGCTAATATATCGGATCGTATTCTTTGTATCGAGATGCGAATCGGATCGGCATTATAGCTTAGATGCCCAACCCTACCCTGCACACCTCGCGTTTTAACCGAATGCTGCGCCTCGTGTTTTTGCATTTGATCGCCAGGCGCTCTCAGTTGAAAAAAGTTGACTTTGAGCAGAAAAGGCGTGTTACGTCAGTCGAGTCTTTTTCATTCTCCGATCAAAGGAAAGCCGAGGCTGGGTTTCCGTTGAGGTGTCTGCAGTGCTTGTGTTGTCAAGGCAACAACGGAGATTTCTGAAGATGGAGGAGACTTGTGGTTGCTGTTTTGGGTTATCCAGAGCTGTATGACTTCACAAATCATGAATTTCACAATATTGTTAAATATTAAAATTATATTAATATCAAAAGCAACACATTACCCAGCTGATTCAATCGTTGCCTAGCGACCTAAGAAAGCGCACTGCGCTCTTTTTTTTCTTGTCAACAAAAAGACAGTGTGGTGCGCCTCTGGTTTTTGAAACATAAATGCGCATTATGTGTGATCGGCCCCTTAAGTGATTTTGTACTTGGTCTGAGTATTTCAGAAACTGCTGATCTACTGGGATTTTCATGCACATGTAACAGGTATTAAATTTATTTATGTTTTCGTTATAAATTCACGCAAAATCTTTGTTTTGTTGGTCATTAATATGTAAGAAATAAAGAGAAAATGTTT